TATTTTAAAATAGTATTTTTAAAAAACAGCATTTAAAAATATATTTAAATGCATCCTCTAGGTAAAACAGAAATAACATTTTATAATTTTATCTAAATTTTTTTAAAAGATGAATTAAAAAAAAAACATATATTTTTCCCTGCAGAGTCAATAACACCCATGTGAACTTTCTTGTAAACAGTACTGAATATACTCTTTTAACTCTACTCATCTTACCTCTCCTTTCCATCATCTGGGTCAAACGTGCCATTGTCCCACATCTATTATTGATGACCACTGAAGGTTGAGATATTCAGACCTTGCCCACTCTGGAAAAAATGGTCAAGTAGTCTGCAGGTGCAGCAACTCAAGGATTATCTTTTTTCAAGATCTCTCCAGCTTTCTGGGAAACTTTCAAGTCAAGAGATCTCTTTCCACGATTTCTGTTCCTCAGGCTTCTTTTTATTCACACAATAGATCTGTCTTATCCTTGTGGAATCAAACCTGTGGGCTTAAGACATAAATCTAATTACCTACTGTCTTCTCACTGTATTCCTGTGGTAAGCAGGCTCCAGAATGTTTCCCAATGATCACTGTCTTCTAGAACTCAAACCAAACCCCTCCTACACCGAAGAGGATTGAGATGACAGTGTGTGACTTCCGAGACTTGATCATAAAATACTTTGGGGCTTCCATCTTACACATTTTAAGATCATGCATTTTAAGCAAAGACAGGTGTCATATTATGAAGTCAAGCAAGGCATCCTGCCAACAGCTAACACTAATTTGACAACCATTATGGAAGCAGATCCTCCAACCCAAATCTAGTTTTCTTAGGCCTGCAGCCCTGCTGTCATTGTGACTTCAACTTTGTATGAGATATCAAAGCCAAAATAACCAGCAAGTCACATTTCACAAAAATAATGAGCTAACATTATGGTTGTTTATGCCTCAAAGTGTTTAAGTAAATTTATTGCATAGTAATAGATTAACATAGCCCTAACCACTTATCTTCCTTGCTTCACACTCCCTATAGTCACTGAATAGAGGTAATGGATGCAGAATGCAGCAGACGTCGAGAGGAAAACTCAAAAGACTCACCAACTGAAGCTGAACCAAATATTCAACAGAGACACCAAGAGTCTAGAGACAAAGTGATGTTCACATATTTGCTCCTCAAATACTCTCTAAAAAGTATAAAGGCATAAACTTGATAAAGTGACAGATATAAAAATGAGTTAAAAAATACTTAGATTTGCAATAGCCCCATATTTGGACCAAGAGAGAGCTGGTCCAGTAATTCTATTCTCTGAGTTACCATGGCAACTGAGGTCAAGAAGTTGTAATTTAGAATTCTCCTTTGAAATGAGAATTATACCTGTGTCACAAAGATACTGAACAATTACAGTAAGTTTTGAGAAGGGCTATGCTTGACATAGACTTCTTTATTTATTTATTTTAGTTGTTGGTGGATCTTTATTTATTTAGAATCTATCTAGTGCCTCACACATGCTAGGCAAGTCCTCTACCACTGAGCTACAACCCCAGCCCAATTGACATAGACTTCTTATACCCCTCACATGGTTACTATTTTTCATGACAATTATTATCTTCTAAAAATACTATGTAATTTATTTATCACATACACAATCCATTTATCCCCTCCCCAATAAAAACTCTATGAAAAAAATTTTTTTCCTGGTTTTACCATTGACAAGTATTGTTCAGAAAGTGTGTTGATATAAGCCATAGTGGAAAAACAGTATGGCAATCAAAACATTAAAAGCAGAATTATTATATGACCAAACAATTCTTCTCAAGTATACACACAGGATAATTGAAAGCAGGGACTTAGATCTAAGTTCGTACACTCATATTTAGAGTACCATTATTTGCAACACTCAATATAAGCAGCCCAAGTATTCGTTAATGGATGAATAAACATTATATACAAAAAGAAGAAAAATATTATTCAGCTTTAAAAAGGAAGGAAATTTTGATAGTGTAGACAAATGTTAAGAACACCGTTAAGGGGTTGGGGTTGTGGTTCAGTGGTAGAGTGCCTGCCTGGCATGTGTAAGGCCCTAGGTTCAATCCTCAGCATCACATATAAATACATAATAGAAAGCTCCATTGACAGTGCTGGGGTTGTAGCTCAATCGAAGAGCATTTGCCTAGCATGTGTGAGGCATTGGGTTTGATTCTCAGTACCACATATAAATTAATAAAAGTCCATCAACAACTAAAAAACATTTAAAAAAATCCATCGACAACTAAAAAATATTTTTAAAAAAAGAAAAGAAGGGACTGGGAATGTGGCTCAGGCAGTAGCGCGCTCGTCTGGCATGCGTGCAGCTTGGGTTGGATCCTCAGCACTACATACCAACAAAGATGCTGTGTCCGCCGAGAACTGAAAAATAAATATTACAAAAAAAATTCTCTCTTTCTCTCTCTCTCCTCTCTCACTCTCTCTTTAAAAAAAAAAGAAAAGAAAAGAAGAAGAAAAAGAAGAACAACACTGTTAACTATATATTAAGTTAAGCCAGGATGAATGTGTTATGATTCTTCTAAAATGGTGGTTGCCAGGACTGGAGTAAGGCAAAACAAGAAGTCATTGCTAATGAGTACCAAGTTTCTGTTTTGCAAGATGAAAAGAGTTCTGGGAATGAACAGTGATGATGAAAGCATAACAGTGTAAATGTACTCAATGCCAATGAACTGTAAAATATAGTTCAGACAGTAAATTCTGTGTTTTACTACAATTTAAAAATAAATATATATACATACATGTATCAAATGAAATATGTAGTTGGTGACTTAAAACTAGGAGAAAGTAATACATTGGACATGAATAAGATAAAAGGATGCGTAGTTTGGAGTTCAAGTGTTTGAAAATCTTACTTGAGTTTGGGTTTTATTAGGCATGTATATTAAAAATTCAAGGATAAGAGCAGAAATTAAACCAGCAGAGAGAGAAAGGGATAAACCTGCACAATAAAAAATAGAAAATAAAAAAAAATTTTATCACTAATTTTAATAAATGTAACTACTTATACTCACCCATTAAAATGACAAACAGGATAAAAGGATTAAAAGCTCAGCAATGTGCTCCCCTCAAGAAACCTGAAACAAAGACATAAAGGATTGAAAATCGAAATTACTGACAAACACAATAACAAAATCTGAAAAGGATTATCATCAGTCAAGAGAACCTGGGCTAAAAGGCATTTGCCAGAATAAAGAAGTATGTTTCTCACTGTGGCAGACTGGAATCCTAGTCCTAATTCTTCAACCCTAACAGGGTTATTATACATTCACATTACTTTCCCAGTAACTATCCCATTTCTAGTTATGCTTTATGGTTGTTAACTGATGTTAAGCTTAGCCACCTGACTTACTTTATTTGGCTAATGAAATATCAGTATATTTGGGAGCAGATATTTTAAGGGTATCTGCATGATCCGTTCTATGCTCTGGAAATCCATCCCGGATTGAAAATGCCCTAGTAACCACTGTTCTTTTAAGCCTGAGCCCCAGAAAGAATAAATGCAGGACAGATATGAGTTCTTCCTATGGCTCTGCCACTCAAACAAAACGCAGCCTCGATCTGCTGAATATAGTAAACCAAATAACCTGAATAAGAAAATAAACGCTACCTACGGTATGCTGCTGGGGTTAAGGGTGGGTTTTTAAGCAATATTAAACCAAGACAGGAATGGGGGTGTAACTAAGTAGCAGCGCGCTTGCCTAGCATGCGTGAGAGACCCTTGGTTCCTTCACCAGAACCACAAAATAAAACCAAATAAAAAATAAATGAATGCACATAATAAAGGATGCAAGCCGTACGATGATGGTGGCAAACCTGGGAAAGATCATCACGGAAAACTTGAAAGCTACATAACGGTCAAGAATTGTGGGGGAGGGGCGGTAAAGGAAACAAAAGGCAGGGGGTCAACGTAAAGAAAGGCCCGCTAGAAAATACAGAATTGTATTTCAAACGTACTTGTCAACTATGTCAAAACACAACAGAGAAAACTAGCCCAAGACAGACCAGAACCACTACACATCGAAGTTGCACTTCGCCAGGCTTTCACACACCACACCACACCACACCCTTAACCGCAATCACACACAACCACAAACATACACCATAATCACCAAACACAATAACCACACACCTTCGATAATCATAAACACTCGCTAATTCTCACCACGTTTTTTTCCGTCCCAACGACTCGAACCACTCCAACGACCCACGAGTAGTTCCAGCGCACCGCCGCTACCTCCCACCTCCGCTAGCCCGGCCACTCCCGGCCCCCTCAGGGCCTCCGCCCCGTCAGCCGCCCGCGGCCGGTCCAAACCGGACGGTCGGAGCCCCGCCCTCACCTCCCAAGGCGGGCACCCGCAGCTCCACAGACCCAGGACAGCCGGAGGCGCAGCCAGCGCGTGGTTTCTAAGAGACCGAGAGAAGCCCACGCGCAAGCAGGTCAGGGACAGGCTCAGGTGAGCCGAAGGAGCTCTCCGTGACCGCTACGTTCCAAGCAAAACTCCTCCCAGAAGGCCACGCGGTCCAACTCAACTTCCGTCCAGGACGCTGCCCGCGTTTCCAGTGCCCAGGAGGGATTAGCCAGGTCCTCTGGGAAGGGGCAGTGCAGCGCGCCACGCTGTGGCGAAGTACCAGCGGTGAAACTGCTCTGGATTGGGGGAGTTGCCCGCGCAGTCATTTCGGATGGGCCCACGCTGGGCCCTGAGAGGAATCGACGTGGACACCTGCTCTGGACTACATTTCCCAGAAGGCCTGGTGGCCTCTCGCTCTTCCGGCGAACTCGAGTCCAGCCTGGCGGGACCGTTAGATCCGGCGGGACAAGCGCCTCAGGTCCGCTGGGTCAGGAGCTGGAGCCTTGGGGCTGTGCGGGCAGAGCGCACTGGACACGGGAGTTTGTGGGATTGTCTGGACACATTATGACACTACGGCTTTGTGTATGGACATGAGATGGCTGGTCGTTGTGAAGTTATGGCTTTAGTATGACCGTCCCTTAATGGATGAGACACTGTGTATTAGTATGGGGCTCCTGTCTCCTTTATGACTGTGACTCCAGAACTCTAGCCCCAGGAAACCTTTCTGACGTTAGGTTCTAGCCCAGGACAGCAGTGAACTTGCACAGGATGCCCCATTTTCCTCCGATCGCCATACCCTGTGTGTGGTGGGTAACGACTTTGGAGCTGATAATGACCTCCAATCTAACTAACTAGGGTACTAGGAAAAACCTGCTATCTTAGAGTTACTTTTCTTCTACCATTTCTACCTTTCTCCAGGTGAGCCACCCAAGAAGAAAAGGAAAGAATGCATGATGAATTTCGACAAGTAATATCCAGGGTATAGTAGGGTTTCTTTTATAGTTTCCTTTCTCTGAAAATTGTTGTTTAATAAAAATGTTTCCATGGGGGCTGGGGTTGTGGCTCAGTGGCAGAGCCTAGCAAAAGCGAGGTCCTGGGTTTGATCCTCAGCACCACTTAAAAATAAATAAAATAAAGGTATTGTGTCCAACTACAATTAAAAAATAAGTATTTAGGAAAAAATGACACCTATAATCCCAGTGACTTGGATCGCAAGTTCGAGGTGCACCACAACAACTTAGCCAGACCCTGTCTCAAAATTTAAATGAATAAATAAAATTAAAAAGAGCTGGGGGTGTAGGTGAATGGTAAAGCACCCTCCCCCTTCAACCACAGTACCTCAAAAACAAAAATAAAAAAGATATATCATTTGAATATAGATCCTTATAATGTCCCCATTGGAGAAAAAGGATGGGTATGCCTGGTATTAGAGCCTAATAAGCCAGGCGGGGTGGGCACACCTGTAATCTCAACCTCTTAGGGGGCTGCATGAGGCAGGAGGATGGCGAGTTCAAAGACAGCCTCAGCAATTTAGCAAGGCATTTAGCAACTCAGTGAGACCCTGTCGCTAAATAAAAAATTTTAAACAAAGGCTAGGGATGTAGTTCAGTGGTTAAGCACCCCTGGGATCAAACCATGGTACCAAAAGAAAAAAAAAAGCCGAATACTCTCGATATACCTAATGTTCACTTCTGCTTGCTGAATTCTTCTTATAAGTATAATATTTATTATTTTAAAATAAAAGCATGAGCTGGGCATGGTGGCACAGGCCTGTCATCCCAGCGGTCTGGGAGGCTGAGGCAGGAGGATCATGATTTCAAAGCTAGCCTCAGCAATTTAGCAAGGCCATGAGTAAATTAGGGAGAACCTATCTCAAAAAATAAAAAATGCTGGGCATGTAGCTCAGTAGTTAAGCATCACTGCATTCAATCCCTGGTACTATTAAAATAAAAAGTAAATAAAAAGCATGATTATTTTAGAGACTTCAAAAACACAGAATTACAAGAAAAAAATTTGATCACTTAACTAGTATTAATATTTAAATGTGTATTTTTTGCCAATGTCAAATTATATTTCATTCATTTTTTTTCAGTACTGGGGGTTGAATCCAAGTCCTTCTGTGCATAAGGCAAGCAGTGTACCACTGAGGTACATCCCCAGCCCTCATTTACATTTTATACTGTACATTTTCACTACAGAGTGTAGTGGTCTTGGAATATCATTTTTCACAGACATTTCTTTGTATGAAAGAATTGAGGTTTCTACTTTGCATTAACTCAATTGTATCAGACTTTTAGATATTTATACATATACATGCAAGTTTAAATTTGTATTTCCATAGTTGTTAATGAGGTTGATCACCATTCCATATGTTTATATTAGGGTTTGTTTTGTGATATGTTTCTTCAAATTTTCTACATTTTTCTCTTAGAATAAGTTTTATTTATAGTAAGCTTATATTATATTATATGTCCATACTATTTGGATTGTTCTGTCACTTTAACGTGGTTTTGTGAACAGAAATTCTAATTTTAAAAAAGTTGAGTTTACCAATTTTTTTTCCTTTAAGGTTAATGTTTTTTGTATCTTGTTAAGAACTCCTTCCCTGTCCCAGGTTCATATAAATATTCTCCTATATTTATCCTAAAGGCTGTAAGTTTTGCTTTCCCATTTAGATGTTCAATCCATTTTTAACTGACTTTTGTATATGCTGTAAGTATGGGGTCAGATTTTTTTCCCCTTTAATAATTTTCTCAGTACCATGTTTAGGAAAATCCATTGTGTTCTCACTGGTCTGCAAAGATATCTTGTGTCCATATGTATATGGGTGTATTATGAGCTCATTATTCTATTCCATTGGTCTATTTGTACATCTTTGTGCTAATCTTGATTACCTGAGCTCCTCTTAAAAGGTAGTCTGTCTTTTCTTCCTCTGGCTGTTTTTAAGGATTTTCTCTCTGTTTTTTGTTTTCTGTAATTTAGTGTAATATATCTTAAGTGCATTCTTTTTTATGTATCTGCTTGGAATTTGTAGGCATTTTTAAATTTGTGGATAGGTATCTATTATTAGTACAGAAAAATTCCCAGTCACTGTCTCTTCAGAGATTGCCTCTGCTTCATTTTCTATCCTTTCCTTTCTTTATCAGGTTCTAGTGAAACATAGGTTAGATCTCATTCTTCTCTTTTTGTCTCTTGATCTCTTCTTGGTTTTAAGAGTTGACAATTCCAAAACATAGGTTAGATCTCATTCTTCTCTTTTTGTCTCTTGATCTCTTCTTGGTTTTAAGAGTTGACAATTCAAAGATAGTACTAATCTTGGTGCAGTGTCATATGCCTGTAATCCTAGTGGCTCAGAAGGCTGAGGCAGGAGGATTGCAAGTTCACAGCAGCCAAAGCTCTTTAAGACTCCATCTCAAAATAAAAAATAAAAAGGGCTGGAGATGTAGCTTAGTGGTAAAGCACCCCTGGGTTCAATCACTGTACCAAAAAGTAAAAATAAAAAAGTGAACAAAAGAAGCTTATCTCAAGTAGGGTTGGAATGACAGGCAACTAATGTCTTTTATCAAGTGATAGTAAAAACATGTCTAATACTGAAAGTATTAAATACTTTTAATACTTATAACCCTGGAGAACCTACTAAATCTTAAGGCTATCCCATCACCATATGATTCTCTAATCTGAAAATTAAAAGGTAAAAGGGTAGAGAACTCAGAATAGGGACAGTGTTTTCCCAAGGTATCAATTTTGAACACTGAGTGGGTCTACTCAATATTTAAAATAAGTATATTTGGCATAGATGCAAAGAAAACTAGGATAAGAATAAGTCTTCCCAAATCTATTCAGCTTAAGTATCTGTTTCCTCTCCTACCAGCCTATAATTACACTCACCTTTTAAAACATTTTTTTAAATCTTTATTTTATTTATTTATTTTTATGTGGTGCTGAGGATCAAACTCAGGGCCTTGCACATGCTAGGCGAGTGCTCTACTGCTGAGCCACAATCCCAGCCCTAAAACTTTTTTTTAATTTATTTTTTTAGGTACTAGGGACCAAACTAGGGCCTTGTATATGCTAAATGTATTCTACCACTAAGCCACACCGCCAGCCCTATACTTAACCATTTCTGCAGTGAAAATTATTGCCTAATATTAATGGGAATGCATTAGGGAAATAATGTACCATAATAAAAAATGAAATGTAAAAGGAATAAAATGAATTCTGTTTTTGTGAACTCACCTAATATTTAATCAGGGAATATTTGAAATATTCCCAGTAAAATAAGAAAGGGAAAAAAAGAATATATACCTTTACAGATATTATTTAATGTTGTTTAGAGATATTAACCAAAGCATTTAGACAAGAGAAAATTTTGTTACATATTAGTAAAGAAGATGTGAGATTATCACTTTTTGCAAATAATATACCTATACCTAGAAACCAAAAGTGTTCATAACCAGGACTTTGAAATAAGAAGGATTTACTGGGTTTGGTTACATTTGTAATACTTGAGAGACTGAGGATGGAGGATCATAAGTTTGAGGCCAGCCTAAGCAATTTAGTAGAACCCTTTCTCAAAATAAAACTTAGAAAGGGCTGGGAATGTAGTTCAGTGGCAGAGCACCCCTGGGTTCAAACCCCAGTACAGGGGAAAAAATAGGAAGAAAGAAAGACTCCATATGAAGCATTTCCCCCCTCATCATTTCTACTCTCAACCCTCCCTATGGGCTAGTTTTTTGATTGTTTTCCTAGATGAAAACCTAAGTAGTTCTATAATCATTTTGATCATTCTTTTTGGTATTCTTTGATAGTTTTCAGTCACAAGAACAGTCTCATTTGATTAATTACAACCACTGGTTCAGCTTAATAATCTTTAAATTTCATGCAAAGCCTCCTGCATACAACTTGATGCTTGCAGTGTGTAAAGGGGGACATATAAACCTTCTTCATTTCCTAATCCTGACTTTCTCATTATCCTGCCCAATAGGCAGTCTTTGAATCCTATGAGATTAGAAAAGGGATGGGCAAGAAGAGATAAGGAGACCGAAAAGACTTTGTTGAAAGACTGGTTTTGTGTTGGTTTCTCTTGTTTTAATGGATATTCAATACTGACTCTTTTTTGTGGGGTACTTTTATGAATTTCTTTGAGAAATCCCTATTGGGAATCTCTAATTTCATTTCCTATGATGTGGCAGCATGTCTCCTTGAAATGGCTACTTGGAATACTTGGCATGGACCTTGGTAGTTTGTGATACCCTCCTTTGTGGAGGTCACTTTGTTCCTTCATTGGGTCCAAGAAGAATAGGTACCAATTTTTATGATATATAAACTCCAGAGGGACCAGCAGAAATTCTCCCCCAAAATCTCACCATTCTACTTTGGAATCTTTAAGTTCCCCTTATTTGGCCTAAAGTGAAGCAACAATACCCTCATTGCTCCTATGGTATGGAAATGTCTGATCTTTTCCAAACAACAATAAATTATTGACACCAGCTTATGTATTACAATTCAGTTCAATTCTTTTTTTAAAATATTTTGAACACACTACCTTTATTTTATTTTTATGTGGTGCTGAGGATCGAACCTAATGCCCTGCATGTGCCAGGTGAGTGCTCCACCACTGAGCCACAACCCCGGCCCTCAATTCTTACACTAACTACCTGGAGTTAATACAAAACCAGAGGTTAAGGAACTTAGTCTCACAGAATTGCCCCTACTTTAGGTGTCTCTAAGGCACTGTACTTCTTTGCAGCCATCCACACAATCTGAGGAGTTCCCATAACCCTTCCTTAGGTTCAAATAATTCACCATAACAACATTTTGGTCAATGATAAACCACATGTCTAATGGGTTTTTACATAAAATTAAATGAAGCAGAAAAGTCTTATTGCCCATTATTTTTACTATACCTGTTTCTGTTTAGATACAAAAATGTTTATCACTATGTTAAAATTGCCTACAATATCCAGAAAAGTAACATGGTATTCAGGTCTATAGCCTAGGAGTAATAGACTACACCATATATCCTAGGTTTGCAGTGGCTATCCCATCTAGGTTTATGCAAATATACTCTATGATGTTGGCACAATACTGAAATCACCAATGACACAATTCTCAGAATGTATCCTTGTTACTAAGCAATGCATGATTTTACTGTTGATTACAGTTTTATTATAAAGGATGCAACTAAGAAACTGCAAAATGGTAGATATGAATAGTATGAGGTATAGGGAGAGGGGTGTACATTTGAATAGGATCTTAAGGATTTTGCCTAACAAAATATCTGGAATGAAAGATTTGTTTATTAGTATTTATATTGTGAAAATTTCTGCCACTATAAAATTATAAAGTTAAATAATTTATATTTTTAAGAAACAATTCTTATAGTAGTCATAAAAGAACTATGTTTTCGGGCTGGGGATGTGGCTCAAGTGGAAGTGCGCTCGCCTGGCATGCGTGCAGCCCGGGTTCAATCCTCACCACCACATACAAACAAAGATGTTGTTGTGTCCACCGAAAACTGAAAAATAAACACTAAAACAACTCTC